ATCGACTACGATGGTGGTGAATTTTCATCAATGAGGACTCTGCCGATTTGCTTCTTGTCGATTTGGGTATGCAGTATTTAGGCGTGTGTTTGTGTTGATGGTGGTCGTTGGTGGAAGTGTTTTTAATGGTGGAATAGGGTTTTTGATAGTGAATGGCGTATATAAGAACGAGAAGAAATTATGTCAAAGTCAAAATAACTAGCATAATTATAGGAAGTATTTGTGGAAGTTATTTATAAAATTACTTTATTACCCTTATTTATTTATTTAATTATTTAATTTTTTATTTAATTTTGATTGGCCCATATTCATGCATACAATAACACAATAATTAGTTTAAACACCTGAACCTAGCTCTCTCTCTCTCTCTCTCTCTCTATATATATATATATATATATATATATATATATATATATATATAATTAAAAATTTCATAGCACAAAAGAGATATTAGGCGTGTTTAGGAGCTTCTAGCTTATAGCGTTTGACAAAACATTTTGTTTTTAACAAAAAACTTCATTTAACACTACAAACTTTTAATGTTTAGTTTAAACAAAATGCTTAAAATCTAAAAGTTATCTCGTATGACATTTAACACAACACTATTAGCTACATGTTACTCGCTAGCTGCTACGAGCTAGTTTTGCCGAATACGCCCATAACATATGCAATAAGTTTTAAGTTGTTGAGTTCCAAGGTTTCGCTAACATAAACACACTAGATAAATAAAAGTTATTAACCTCGTCTACACTCATTAAACCCTTACTAGGAATTACAATTGGACAATCTTGATTGGACTATTTGGTTAGAATATTCAGACTTTTGGATTGGTTTTTAACAAAACTACTATTATTTTAGATTTCAGATTAATTTTGGTTTATAAAATATTAACCTAATAGTCCAAAAAATTGAATAAAAATTTATAATTTATTTATTTTCAATAAGTATCTATAATTAAATATTTATTTATTATTCTATTTTTTTCAAATAGATTCAAAACACTTCACCTAATAAAAAATACCTTAATATTCATTTTTCTCAAAAAAAAAAAAGTATAAAATATGAAACTATAATATATTTTTAGTAGTTTATAAATTTTAAAGCATAACTAAATAATTTGTTTTTGTTTCTTCTATAAAATTGGCTAATATTCTAATTATATATGGTTTTAAAATGTTTTAATGTTTGAAAACCGAATTATAAAAAACCGATCCAACCGAATTGTAATTTGGTTAGATCGGATCAGATTTAAATTTAGTTTGGACTATTCATATCTATGTTTTGAAACCGAAAATCACTTTGGATTCGGTTAATTGGATCGGATTGAACCGATCCATCCAAACGAACACCCTTAGTTTAGGTTGGCCCCCTTTGTTGACGAAGGGTGACTCATATTTTCTTGGAGAACAGGTTTGACTCGCACACTCAGTAGGGCTATACCTAGTGATCTTAATAACCCTAACTATATCTTGCGAACAGATTTGAATATGAGTTCATTTTGATGAGATCTTTCGATCCTGATCCGATCTTACAATCACTATCTTGCAAAATGTAAAACAATCACAAATAAGATATCGGTCTTGACAACCTTGGATCCTCCAATAGGCATAATAATAATAATCCATCAACTTACTATACTAATGTGTAATTGTATTTTTTCTTTACATGAAATAGCTCATGCTTTAAAATAACATGTCAATTTCTTTTATAAAAGCTAAATTGATCTTTCAATAAAATAAAAAAAATCAAAAAAGTCCAAGACCAACCATCTTGTAGTTTTTTGTTAAATTAAAGTTTAACGCACCCTAGATTACTTTAACAAGCCCATTAGGGAGGAAGGAGTCATAGCGGGTTGGAGGAGGAAAAAGGATAGACGAGATGAAAGCAAGAGAGAAAGAGAGGGGTTTAGCGGTTTGAGGAACCTGCTGGGGAGACAACTCAAAGACGGAAAGTTGAAGAAGATGGGGTCGGCGATTTTGGGGTTGGACGGGTTCGATACCCTTCGCCTAGGGTTTAGCAGTTTCGGCGAGGGGAGGGAAACAACTCCTTCCTTCCTTAGATAATCTCCAACCAACTCTAATTTTTTTACATCGCCGTTGGTGTAAAGAATGGTGCTAATTTTTCATCTCCATCCTATACCATTTTATACAATTTTTGTACCAAAAGTATATCATTAATGTATTATTTTTTTAGTTATATATAGATTGCCAAAACACCTTAAACTTATTAGTTATTTACATATTTATTTATACATTTTTTTATAAAAACTTTATAAAATATATTTTTATGAAATTATGACAAAATAAATTATTTGTATATTTTTAATTCGAATTACTAATTATTTTGTTAAAGTGAAATTGTTTAACAAATAAAAAACGACATTGTAAAATTTCTAAATCAATTCAAAACATAAAGATTAAGCGTTATATATGATTAATTAATATCAATTTAATATATAACATATTATTATTATTATTAATTTTTACATTTAAATTATAGATATTTATATTTAATACACTAAACATCAACTTGAGAAACTAATAATAACACATAAAGATAAATCTTTGATATACATATTTATATTTATAGATCTTTATATTTAATAAATTAAATATAGTTGTATGTAATGGTATTTATAGGTAAATTTTAATTAAAAAAATGAAAACTAGGGAGGAATGACTTGTCAAAATTGTCAAAACCCAAACCTTTTGATTGGCCGTTGTGCTTCGTTGTAACCTCCACAACCCACCACGAAAACGGACCACAACGGACACCTGAAGTGATGTTCATGGTCGTGGTTCTTGCCATGTCGGATAATGAGACCCTCCTTTGAGAGTACTCCGGATGCGCTAACATCAAATTTGATGCTATACTATTACTTTATACAAAAATCCTATGAAAAACAAAATAAGATTGGAAATGAATTTATACCATTTTAATGTAAAAAAATGAGATTTTGTATTGAGAAAATTAAATATCCTCCTACATTTTCTTCCTACTTATCTTCCTACCCATGTAAAATGGTGTCATGTGTCATATTTGGATAAGATTATCATTAATTTAATACACTTGTCATTATTTCAAATGGATAAGAGGCAGTGGCGGCCTTGGGGTGGTGCCGGCGGTGCGGTCGCACCAGGCCTCCGATTTTAGGGGGCCTCCGATTTTTAGGATAATTTATAGTTATAGTATTGGTATTTTTGTAAAATCTATTTTTATGTTTTATCAATAAATAAAATTAGTCCGGTAACTTTTGGTTCCAATTTTAGATGCGTTTTTACATTTGGCCTCTGATGCGTTTTAATTACCGAAACAAAGTCTCACTTTAAAATCATTGTCAACTACAAGGTGGGAAAGTAGGATTGAAAGTGTGAAAGCAATAGTTACTAAAGCTCCTGAAATAGTAAAAGCTTTGCATAAACTTGTTGAAGAAGAGACAGACATAAAGATCAAGTGAAGCTACTTGTCTAGCAGAGTATGGACTTGACAGATTTGACTTTATAACAGGTATGGTTATATGGTATCATATATTGGCTAAAGTAAATAACCTGAGCAAACAACTTCAGTCTGAGACTATGCGTATTGATGAGGCAATGAGTAGTGTGGGAGCACTTATTGAGTTTTTTAAAGACTATTGAGAGAATGAGTTTGAGAAGGCTTTGGATTGTGCGAGAGCTATAGCTTCTGGTTTGGAAATTTATCCAGTGTTTGTTGAGAAAAATAATAAAAGAAAAGTTGTTAAAAAAGACATTTTGATGAGAATGACATTGGGTCATCAGAGCCGGTATAGAAACTTTCACCTCAAGAGTCATTTAGGATTCAATATTTTATGTACATAGTTGATCAAACTATTGGTTCATTGGAGCGAAGGTTTGAACAATACAAACAATATGAAGACATTTTTGGTTTCTTATTCACAACAGAAAAGTTGAAGTCAATGAATACTAGCGAGTTAAAGTCATGTTGCAAAAATCTGGAAAAGAGGCTGCAAAATAGTCATATCTCAGACATTAATGCTGATGATTTATTCAACAAACTGAAGTTGTTACAAAAACATTTACCGGTTGAACACAATACAGCTAACGGAATACTAAATTTCCTAAAAATGATGAACACTTATCCAGTTTCTTGTCTAGCATACAGAATATTGTTGACTATTCCTATTACAGTTCCATCAGCGGAAAGAAGTTTTTCAAAACTAAAGTTTTTAAAATCTTATTTGCGCTCGACCATGTCTCAAGAGAGATTAAACGCTTTGGCATTGATTTCGATTGAGAACGAGTTTCTTGAGAATATTGATTATGAAAGTCTCATAGATGAATTTTCTTCTAAAAATGCTAGAAGGTCAATGTTTAGAAAATAGTAATGCGTTGTTTTTTTTTGTTGAAAAGTTGTTTATAACAGTTTTACAGTTTTATTTGATTACTAATGAGTGATGAAGACATTATTTTGTGGTAGTGAATTTATGAGATGTTTTTTTAACAACTTTATGTTTTGAATTAGTGGTAGCAAATGTAGTTAATAATATTTACAAGAATTTGTGGGCCTCATTTTAGTTTTTGCACAAGGCCTCCGAAATGTCAGGGCCGGGCCTGATAAGAGGATATGTAAGAAGAAAAGTAGAAGGATATTTAATTTCTCTTTTGTATTAGGTTGGAGATGACATTAAACATAATTTATTAACACTAAAATTAGTTATTATTAAGAGGAAAAAGATAATCATATGATCGAATATAATTTTCTAGAAAAAAATAAGTTACTCCTTATGACGTACGACTAATGTAGACACAGTGAAATTTCACATGTCGAGTTTTATGTAGAAAGGTATGCAATTTGTTGAATTCATTGCCCAAAAATTTCAATCATGAGGCGTTTTATAAAAATCACAAATCCAACAATCATTAATTCTTAATCAAGTTTCTACGAATTAGTAAATTTACATCAAATCATGATATCATATATGAGACGATGGTTGCTTTGGGTTCTAGAAACAAAAAGATATGTTTTGTTTGTTGATTGGGGAAAGCGAAATTCGATTGATATCGATGTGGGAAAGTATCAAATTATTTCCCATTTAAATTTCGTCATTTGTTATGGCAATCGGCGACGTGGTTGTCTTCCTATCTGGTATCTACCGGCGGCCACTTTTCCCGCCTTAAAAAATTGAGGTCAAATCCCTTGAAAATTAACGCGCCACCGGTTTTTAACTTTACGCAGAAAAGCCGAATTCTAGAATAAATGGAACCCTGTTTACCTAAACTTCTAAACCTTCTCTATAAAGCTCGCAATTTAATCGGAGTTGCGACCATCGGTTCTTCCTCCGCCGCTGCCTCCGCTGCAATTACATCATCTCCAAAGTTCTCTACTTCCGCCGCCGCTATGGATGATCTCCAAACCCTAAAAACCCGACTCTGCATCATTGGTAGTGGTCCCGCTGCGCATACCGCCGCCATCTATGCCGCCCGCGCGGAGATCAAACCTCTCCTCTTCGAAGGATGGATGGCTAATGACATAGCTGCTGGTGGTCAGCTCACTACGACAACAGACGTGGAGAACTTTCCGGGGTTTCCAGAAGGCATTCTAGGGTTTGAACTCATGGAACGATGTAAAAGTCAATCGATTAGGTTTGGTACCGAAATCTTCTCCGAAACTGTTACTAAAGTTGATTTCTCATCATCTCCTTTCAAAATATTCACCGATTCGAAATCTGTTATTGCCGATTCGGTTATTGTCGCTACCGGCGCCGTCGCGAGGCGGTTAACTTTCCCCGGCTCCGGTGAGGGAAAATCAGGGTTTTGGAACAAAGGTATTTCAGCTTGTGCCGTTTGCGATGGTGCTGCTCCGATCTTCAGAGGTAAACCGCTGGCAGTGATTGGCGGAGGCGATTCTGCAATGGAAGAAGCCAATTACTTAACTAAATACGGATCGAAGGTTTACATCATTCACAGGAGAGGTGAGTTCAGGGCTTCCAAAATCATGCAACAGAGAGCCATGAATAACCCCAAAATCGAGGTTATATGGAACTCAGCGGTGGAGGAAGCTTATGGTGCAGAAGGGAAATCTCTTCTAGGAGGTTTGAAAGTGAAGAATGTTGTCAATGGTGAGATTTCAGATTTGCAGGTTTCTGGTTTGTTCTTCGCAATTGGGCATGAACCAGCTACTAAGTTCTTGGATGGGCAGCTGGAGCTTGATTCCGATGGTTATGTTGTGACTAAGCCGGGAACCACCATCACCAGTGTAAAGGGTGTCTTTGCTGCCGGAGATGTTCAGGACAAGAAGTACAGACAAGCTATCACTGCTGCTGGTTCTGGTAAGTTTCTTGTCTCTCTTTGTTCAACAATTTATCTTTAAATGAATGAATTTGATTGCTAATTTGCTTATATACTTCACACAAGATTTTGATACATGCATTCGTCTATATATATTGGTTTTGTTAATGATTGATTGAAAGTTTATCATTGAATAAGCTCTATGATGGAATGAAAAATCTCGTTTGGTTTTGCTACACAGGAATGGAATGAAGCATTCCTCAAAGAATGTGATTCTTTAGCAATTAATGTTTATTCTTATTAAATACAATTTTTGTTTCTTTTCTTTATCACTTTAATTTCACCTAGGTTTTTTATAATCATACAAAACAAATGACATGCTTAAATGGTTTATTCCATTCATTTAATCCAACCAAAATTACCTTCCTCTTTCCATTCCTACACGATTCCATTCCATCATTTTCAAACTGACCCAAAATCTTGAATGGTATGAATCATTGCAAGATCTACAAAGATTTGTGATGATATATTTTTTTAATTTCAACTAATCAAATAAACGCAACAAAGTTTGCATACCATGTGATTTTAGAAAAAAAGCAATGGAATATTATTATTTATCTCACACATGTATGATTAAAAAGACATGAAAGTATTATATTATCATTTAATATTTACACATAAAGCTTGGCAACCACTACTACACTCTAAATGCATGTATTCAATTCCAAACTTTCTTCATTTGTATAAATGACTGAAATGCCCTTTCTAATATTAATATAATTTATTTTCGTGATGAAGGGTGCATGGCAGCTTTAGATGCAGAACATTATCTGCAGGAAATTGGATCCCAGCAAGGGAAGAGTGATTGATGATGTCAAAACTCAAATTGCCAAGAAAGAAAATTTTATAAAAAGCTGATTCATGTATGGCTTTACAACATTTAAGAATATTGGTATTTGATATTTATTGGCTGGAATATGCCAAGAATTTATTTATTTATCAAATTTGTTTGCTTTAAAAAACTATTTAGTGGATGATGGATGATATGTTGTTGAAAATGCTCAAAATTTAATTTGTTTCACTTCTACTATTTATGCCATGATCATAAGGTTATAACATTATACTCTTATTTCTATCAAAATTGACCTAAACAATCTTGAATGAATGATCTTCAATATTCAATGGTATTGTAGTCGATTATTAAATTGATGTTCCAATTTAATAGTTATGTTTTTACAAAATTTGGGCTTTAAGAAAATGATAGATCAATCTTTTGTCATAATGGAGAGAAGTGCAGTTGATTTAAAAATTGTTAGGGTTTTATGTGCAAATGAGATTCCGTTTATTATTTTGTGTAATCCACAATTTCATGAAATGGTAAATGCAATAAAAAATGCACCCAAAAGCAAGAATTGTTCTACTAGATAAATGTGTGAGAGATGTTGAGAAGGACTTAACACCATTTGAAGATACATAGTATTCACATGGTATTTCTATAGCATTTGAGGAGTGGTCAAACATAAACCGATCAAGTAGGATGCCAAAACCACTTCTAAAATATTGACTAGCTTTTGCTATCAAAACTTTCTAAAACTTGTTTTCATGAATGTAACAAGTATACATATATAAACAACTAGAAATCAAGTCATATAAGAAGCAACTTTTAAAAATATGGAAAGTAGTAAGTAGGGATATATGTTCTTTGTAACTCATCTTAAGGTATATAAAAGCTTCTAACTCTAAAGTGCTGTTTGTTTTTTTAATAAAAACCTCTTCAAACCATTTTTTTGCTGCGCGACGCAGCACACGCGCATCACTTTCCCTCTCGCAGCAGCTTGTTTTTTGGAAGACTTCAGACTACAAAACCTCTGCGCGTGTGCTGCGTGGCGCAACACTTGACTTGCCTCTTCAAACCTTTTCAGCTTTCATTTTTTCCAAGTGTTTTTTTTTAGAATTTGGGTATAACTTATTTTTTTTAAACTTTTTATTTTACAACTTTGATTTTTTTTAAACTTTTATTTACGGATTTGATACAATTTCTTTTTATAGTTTCCACAAATTTTTTTAACTTGATTTAAAAAAAAAACTTTGATTTTTTATTTAACTTTTTACCGTTTCTGTTAATAATATTTTTAGTTTCAGTTGCATCTTTTTTAATATGTGTAATTTTTTACGAACTTTGTAGACATCGTTTGCAATACTTTCTTAATTTATTATTATTATTTTTTTTTTATGTTTTTAAAATTAGTTTTTTTCTAGATCAATAAAATTGTTAGCTTCTTTTATATTTTTGTAAGTTTTTTTTAAAAAGTTTTATATTTTTGTTTTTTTACATGTTTTTTTTTTAGTATTTTTTCAATGTTTTAAGACTACAATTATTAAAATTTCAGTGTTTGAGAACTATTTTCAGTTTATAATTAAATTAGTTTATTTAGATTTCAGTTTACTGTAGCAGTCTGCAGTTGTTAAAAGCAAACATGCTTCTTATTATAAACTGCAGCCGTTTGTTCCACCTCTTCTGCTACAGATGATTGCAGAGGTGGTCCGCAGACTTCATGAATTTTCGATTCGAAAAACAAACAACACCTAACATTGCCTTCCTCTTCAAGAATGATTTAAGAACTCAAGTATCAAATAAAAACATTAAAAGGTGTATTGAAATCATATTAAGTGATCCATTAAGACACTTATTAATCTCTTTCCTAAATCTTAAATTTTATTATTTCAATGTATTCGTCATGTCAAAACATGAATGTAGGCAAGAACTGAGCGTGGTTTGGAGTCCGGATAAAAAAGTTAATGCATATTTTATGGATGGCCAAATAATTCTTCAGAGAACACTAGCATAACCTATGACATGCACAACAGTCCAAAAACATACCAAACTTCATTTCTAAGTATTATACTTTGATATCTACCTTGAGAACAAACGTTTTTATTTTTTCTTTTAAGCTTTGCTTGAAGCAATTTTCTAATTAATGATAAGTGGCTCGTCTATTATTTGCCTTCCGTTAATGAAAATATTTTGAACATGTAAAATAATCGATCGCAATAACATATCTGGTATAGCTTGCGAGAATTTTGTAGACGATTTTATACAACACTCCAATGAGATAAACTTTAAATTTATTTGTTTGGTTTTATCATTGTTAGGTTTTTGATATTAAAATATTGGTCGAGATTTGTTAGGTTTTGAGTTTTTGCAATCGTGATTTTAAGTTTTGGATTATAAGACTTAAAATTGAAATCTGTATCTCTAGATGGAAAGACTTCAAATTTTCGATATAACAATATTCTAGACTTCACATTTTCGATATCTTGAATGGTGCCGTATAGGTTCTAGAAAATATTGATATAAAGTCACCAGTTTTATTGTAATCCGTCCGTATACAAGTAATTAAACGAAAGTATGCAAAATTAGTATTTACTAATTATTTAAAATATTGATTAGCACTTCTTGTAAAAGTTTAAGGGTATGCATGCATACCCTTATTAAACTACAGATCCGCCCCTCAAGCCTAGCATTTTGCTTGCCCTTTGAACAATAAATGCCGGAAAGTTTTCGGAAAAGAAAAAAAAATTCATAACAAATGTATTAATTTGGATTTGACTAAGTATATATGCACTAAAAAGTTTCACGAAACGACACGTGTATGGTAGTCGGATGACCAGATTTGTTATTGTTAATTAACCGTACGTGTTTCATGGGTATACTGTATTTGTGACCTCTCATCCACTGAAGCTGTCTAGCTATAAAATCCGAGTTGCATGTCATTCTTAATCTCATAATTAACTTCGACTCCAAAGATCGAGAAGCAAGAAATGGAAAGGAGCAAATTAATTTTGATTTCAATCGTAGTTACATTGGTTTGTTGTTTAGGGGTTGTGCAGGGGTTCACATATGACGACAAGGAGGTTCATACGGAAGAGGGCAGGGAGGCTATGTTTGAAAGATGGAGGAGCCACCACAAGTTGGAGGAAATAAGCCTTGAAGCGAAGAGGAAACAGTACAACACGTTCAAGTCTAGACTGGAACATGTTCACAAGACAAACAAGGCGAACTTGGGATTTAAGTTAGAGCTGAACAGGTTTGCAGGGATGACTCGCGAGGAGATACAGAGCAAGTTTACTGGATTTAAGGGTGCCCCTCCCAATCCTTGCCCTGCAAATGACGCTGGTTGCCCGGCAAAGGACAATGGTTGCTGCCCAGGCGACGGTTGCCCGGCAAAGGACGGCGGTTGCCCAGCGGACAGTGGTTGCTGCCCAGGCGGTGGTTGCCCGGCAAAGGACGGCGGTTGCCCGGCCGGTGGTTGCCCAGCGGACAGTGGTTGCTGCCCGGGCGGTGGTTGCCCGGCAAAAGACGGCGGTTGCCCGGGCGGTGGTTGCCCAGCGGACAGTGGTTGCTGCCCGGGCGGTGGTTGCCCAGCAAAGGACGGCGGTTGCCCGGCCGGTGGTTGCCCAGCTGACAGTGGTTGCTGCCCGGGCGGTGGTTGCCCGGCAAAAGACGGCGGTTGCCCGACTGGTGGTTGCCCAGCGGACAGTGGTTGCTGCCCGGGCGGTGGTTGCCCAGCAAAGGACGGCGGTTGCCCGCCCGATGGTTGCCCAGCGGACAGTGGTTGCCCAGCAAAGGACGACGGTTGCCCGGCCGGTGGTTGCCCAGCGGACAGTGGTTGCTGCCCGGGCGGTGGTTGCCCGGCAAAAGACGGCGGTTGCCCGGCCGGTGCTTGCCCAGCGGACAGTGGTTGCTGCCCAGGCGGTGGTTGCCCGGCAAAGGACGGCGATTGCCCGGCTGGTGGTTGCCCAGCGGACAGTGGTTGCTGCCCAGGCGGCGGTTGCCCGACAAAGGATAGCGGTTGCCCTGGCGGTGGTTGCCCAGCAAAGGACAGCGGTTGTGCGGGCGGCGGTTGTCCGGCGAATGATGGTGGTTGCCCTGGAGGCGGTTGCCCGACAAAGGACAGCGGTTGCCCTAGTGGTGGTTGCCCGGCAAAAGATACGGACACTATTTTCAAACCAATAGATAACACCGGCGGTGGTTGCCCCGGCGGTGATTGCCCGGCGAAGGACGGCGGTTGCCCAGGCGGAGGTTGCCCGGCGAAAGATGGCGGTTGCCCGGCGAAAGACGGCGGTTGCCCGGCGAAGGACGGCGGTTGCCCGGCGGCGGACGGAGGTTGCCCGGCAAAGGACGGCGGGTGCCCGGGCGGCGGTTGCCCGGCGGCGGACGGAGGTTGCCCGGCAAAGGACGGCGGCTGCCCGGGCGGCGGTTGCCCGGCGACGGACGGAGGTTGCTCGGCAAAGGATGGCGGCTGCCCGGCCGGTGGTTGCTCGGCGGCGGACGGAGGTTGCCCGGGCGGCGGTTGCCCGGCAAAGGACGGCGGTTGCCCAGGCGGCGGATGCCCGGCGAAGGACGGAGGTTGCCCGGCGAAGGACGGTGGTTGCCCGGGCGGCGGTTGCCCGGCGAAGAACGACGGTTGTCCGGGTGGCGGTTGCCCTGGTGGCAGTTGCCCGGCGAAGGACGGCGGTTGCCCGGGCGGCAGTTGCCCAGCGAAGGACGGTGGTTGTCCAGGTGGCGGTTGCCCGGCAAAGGACGGCGGTTGCTCGGGCGGCAGTTGCCCAGCGAAGGACGGTGGTTGTCCAGGTGGTGGTTGCCCTGGTGGCAGTTGCCCGGCGAAGGACGGCGGTTGTCCGGCAAATGACGGCGGTTGCTCGGGCGGCGGTTGCCCGGCAAAAGACGGCAGAGAGGCTACTGCAAGTAAGGACAACTGGTATTGGGATTTCAAGTATCGTAATGTCACTGACGTCCCTGCCGAGATGGACTGGAGAAACCATAATGCAGTTACCCGTGTCAAGAATCAAGGAATGTGTGGTACGTAACACCGGCCTACACTTTTTTTTTTTTTTAATTCTTTGAGCAACTTATATAAACAAACGTGCATGGTTCATTTCAATTTAAAAAAAAAAGCAAAGATAATTAATTAAGGATTTGATCGAGCATGGTTGGGAATTTGTAATATTAAACGTACGTACTGCATGCAGGGAGTTGCTATGCATTTCCAACAGTGGATTCCGTTGAAGGAATACATGCAATCGTAAATGGCGAGCTAATAGAATTATCACCAAAAGAAATTATCGACTGTGCTAATGTGGGCGGATGTAACGGAGGGTCACCTCAAGATTCTTTCAAATACATCGCCAATAATGGAGGTCTAACTACCGAGAAGAACTACCCTTACAAACCTGAAGTTGAGACTTGCAGATTACAAAAGGTAATGCATCGATATTAATTAATTGTTGATTTCACGTGAATTAATTATATTGAGGGATTAATTAAAATTTACATGCATATGCATATGCATGTGTATGTGTCAACTTTTTCAATTACGACAGGCGAATGATATTGCCGTAGAAATTCATGGATATCAAGACGTTCCTAGGGACGAAACTGATGAGCATCTTTTGAAAGCAGTTGCACACCAGCCTGTAGCTGTTGCAACGTCATGGGGAGATAATTTAGCATTATATAAAGAGGTGACTCAAAACTCACATACATAATATATATATTATTATTACTTTAAAAACAAATTCTACATTCTTCATATTTCACTATATATGTATGATAAGGTAATTAAGCTAAATAAATTTGTAGGGAATTGTGCAAGGACCATGCGAAACGACAGTTTTGCATTCAACGCTAGCAGTTGGATACGGAACGGCCCCAGATGGAACCAAGTACTGGATATTGAAGAACTCGTGGGGAGAAGAGTGGGGAGAAAAGGGATACTACAAACTACACCGTGGAATTCCTGACAAGAAGGGAATGTGCGGCATAGCACAATTCCCTGCTTATCCTATCATTGAAGCCGATAGTGGAATACATGCCTCACCCGGTGCAGTTGTTAAGAGTGTTAAAAAACGCTAGACGTTCGTATGCCCAACTTAATTTGGATGTGATTGTTTCTCCATTCTAAATAATCGGTTGCTGATTCCGATCCGATTCAGGCTACTCTAAATTTTTTATTATGTAATTCAACTATAAATTTATACCCGTGTAAAGCGGTGATGACAAATAGTTTTTTCGGCAATTAGTTTCTTTTCGGAAACATGTTATGTTACAAGGAAAACACAATATATTGGAAAATATAATTTACCATCAGTTTGTTAATTCTCTCTGAAAACCGAACGTACACCAATTAAATCAACATATAAAGAACCTCCAAATTAGCAAACGTTGAATAATTTTCTTTTGATGAATGGTTTCTTTTCGATTGATTTGCTATGTATATACTAATTGTAAATCTATGCAATGCATTGGTGGTCAATAGTTAATTTCCAACAAATAGTTTCCTTTTGTATATTTTGATTATTTTTGGTTAACCAAACATGAAAAATGTTCGGTTTTTTGGTTTACTTACTGTTCATGTTTTCTGTTGCAAACTATTACCAAAAAAAACAAATACTTAATATTTCTTAGGGTTAAAAATATAAATAAAATTTTGTTTTGAATTAAAAATGAAGCTATATTGTTGTTTAGAATTAGAATATAACGTGGGATTAGAATATAATAGGTAAAACTTATGTTGTTGTTTTGATTTAAAAATATATAAGTAAATTACTATTTTGTGTTAAATATAAATGTATGTTTCTATTTTGATTTAAAAACATATAGAAGTTTCTATTTTGGATTAAGTATAAAAGTATAATGTTAAGAATTAGAAATGAAAGAGTAAAATTACATAAATAAATCATCCATGTGATTTGAGGCAATTTGCAAGTTTCATCCCCATCGTTCTTTTTTATTTGGATGGTCGATGTGGTTTATGGATTTGAGACAATTTGCAAGTTTCATATCTGTCATTCTTTTTTCATTTGGATGGTCTATGTGGGTTTTTTTTTTTTTTTTTTTTTTTTTTTTTTTTTTTTTGTTTTGATTTCCACCCCCAAGTTGTATGTCGTTTGTAAGATTCGATTGACCCTCAGTAAAATGATAATTTAGCCCTAGCTTTATTTTCTAAATTTCTTTATTATTTTATTTTCATATGGGGTTGATCCTTAATAAAATGATAATTTTAGCCATAGCTTTATTTTCTAAATTTCTTTATTATATTTATTTTCATATGGGGTACGCTCAACAATCTCCCCTATAACTAATTATCCAAATGATTTCATTAACACAATGAGGCTGATAAATGACAACATATTATAAAAAACAAAGAAATATTGTTCAGGTTGAGCATCATCGAATTAACACAGATATCAGCCTCCAAAAGAAGCAATTTAACTATGTGCTTAATAACTACAAGTGTTCTAATCCAAATGAAACAAAGAGAAAGAACTAAATTGAACCACAATGCAACTCCTTACAAGATACAATTACCACACCATTTAACTAAACGACAACCACCATATATGTTTAAAAACCAGTAAGAATATAGCCGATAAAAAATCAGAATATTGGTTGCACTCTGCTTTGTAGCAGTTCATGTTGGTTGTGTTACTATATCGTTATAATGTTCTTGTGGACTCCTGCAGTGAATAAAACATCTAAGGTGTTGTTTGATGTTTTTTTTAACATATTAATGGAACACAATTTAATCTGGTAAACTATAAATGGGTGTTTCTTATGAATTAATACAAAAAAAGAGAGACCGAAATCGAGCAACATTGCTAGTGAAAGGTAAAATAGTCATTAAAATATAAAAAAAGGTTTAAGGATGCATGCAGATTTTGAATTTAAAAGAATCACATGATATTTGAAGGCCAAAATAGTTTATAGAAAGACTTAGAAGGCCAGAATAGTTTCACCATGATGGTTTTATGACCGGATGATTAATTAGTTTACCATAATCCAACAACGGATTATTTCTCAGCCTAAAAGAAGTTATCATTCCTCAAAGAAACAAAAACTTTGGATCCAACCAGAGTTATTATTGCAAAATGTAGAACTCACATTGTTTGGATAAAGATTACCATGGCCAATGTAAAACATATTCATCTGAAGACTCACAGATATTGAACCTTGAGACTGCAAAACACAAGGACTAAAAATCATATACCCCATCAAAATACATGATTGAAGATGGTTAAAAATTCAGTGACATCCCACACCAACCAATCAATCGTTTGAAAAAAATAAAATAAAAAACGGAACAACTATTTTTTCATAACAAACTAAATTCTAATACCATACACAATCATGAATACCATTGTCTCGGTAAGAAATCAAAATTCATAACTTACAAGTTATTACACAATTTTGAGAATAAAAATATGATAAAGAAGGCATTGTGTCTAGAATAGTTGCCATACGTTTTTTCATAAATTGACATCATTTACCTTTCAAGGCTAGCTACTTTTACATTAATTTCTTCTTATATTATTTCCATTTGCTGGGAATTTTCTTGAGACCATCTCCCATATTGTGCGAGTGATTTAGTTGTGAATCTTTACCAAAATACCCTTCAAATGTTAGCACTTCGAGGAGCCTATTCTTTCACAATTATAGTATGGATACGTGCAGTATAGGGTACTATAGGTAGTTAAGTCAATTAGGAATATGAATATGTGGGGACCACTGATAAAACGGAGTTGGAGGTGAAAATGAACAAAAGTTCAACTACCTGACTACATAAGGAAAGTAATGATCTCAACCTCGTCAAGAGCACACCAAAAAAATGAAAAGTATTTTAATTATTAAAGCACAACTCACTAGAGCAAATTTGTAGATTTTAAGATCTTTGCTAATAATAATGGAGAAGTGCATATGGGAGGTCTATAAAGATTACCCTACAATACTTCTAATGGAATTGTTAAATGTGACTCGAGCATTTGGATCATGTTCATGGAGCATTTGGAGCACTTGGAACTCAATGGAACACTTGGGGCTCATGGACATGTGACAAAGGAACAAATCATCTGAGAAAGGAATGGATCGTCTGACAAAGGAACGGATCAAGTGCCAAAGGAATGAATCATATAGAAGGGGGTTTGGAGCACCTGGAAGAGGTTTGGAGCACTTGGGAGTGATATGGAGCAACATGGGGACCTTGTTGCACCATATGTTAAAGGGATGAGCCAAAAAGGATGCTATTGCGCCATGGCATCTCTTCTTGCGCCATGATACTCCCTCTTGCGCCATGATACTCCCTCTTGCGCCATGGGGATCCTTCTTGCGCCAAGGGTACTCCTCTTGTGCCATGCATGGCCTTGTTGCACCATGCATGTTACTGTTGTGCCATGGTGGTGTTTTTGCTCAAATCTTGATGTTCTTGTGCCATACTTGAAGTCACTTGCGCCATCCATATTCCTATTGCATCATGATGGCGCAAGATGGACCATCTTGGTTCCTGATGAGCCAAGTATGATATGAAGTCCTCTATAATGCTCAAGATCCTTCAAGGATGCTCTGAAGTTGGTATTGCTCAAGGATTACACCATGTTGTGTCATCATGATGGATGTTGGGCCATTAGTGTTCATAATGCACCACTTGTACATCATGATGCTCCACTATGTCACAAGGTGCTCCATCATGTGTGTTGGTGATGCTCATGGGTTGTATGACATGTATGAATGTTCTAGAAGATGCCGCATGTCAGATTGTGATTGTTTGACACCTTTCATGGGCCTATGGGTCAATAGGCTTAGCCCATTAGGGTTTTAGGTCTGATCCCTCAACTATAAGTAGGGAGGCATGCTAGGTCATTTAGTATCTTGAATTCTAGAGTGATAGACGAATCTCTATGTAATTGTACTTGTACCTCTGTTTGAGAGCTATGAAATAAAGGAATACTCCCCTCCTACCCGTGGATCTAGGTCACCTTGACCAAACCATGTAAATACTGTGTCTTGTGTGCTTATAGTTTTGCTAGTTATCTGCTTTACTTCCTAACAAGTGGTATCAGAGCTGCGATTTGTATTCCTGTGATTAAAGATATCTACTCACAAGTTTGATTCGGAGAAATTCAATGGTTCAAATGACTTCACATTGTGGAAGGTGAAGATGAAGGCTCTTCTGGTTCAACAGGGGTGTGCAATGAGACTGGAAGGGGAGACAAAACTGCCAAAGGACATGGCGGCAGAGAAGAAGGTTTACATTCTGACGAAGACACATAGTGCCATTCTATTGAGCTTAACATATGAAGTACCGAGGAAGGTCGTGGATCAAACAACTACTTCTAGGCTTTGGGATAAACTTTGTGACAAGTACCAGAATAATTCACTAACGAACAGGTTGTATCAGAAGCAAAGGTTGTACACTCTCAGAATGCCTGAAAGTACCCAAGTGAAAGATCATCTAGATAACTTCAATCGCATCATATTGGATCTACAAGGGGTTGATGTGAAGATTGAAGATGCAGATCAGGCGCTCATTCTCTTATGTTCTCTTCTGAAGTCATATGAGAATTTCGTTGATACCATGCTCTATGGTAGGACAATGATCACTATGAATGATGTGAAGGATTATCGGATGTCCAAGGAACTAAAAAGAAAAGTTTTAGTTGGAGAGGAGGTGTCCAGTTCTGGTTTGTTTGCAGGGAGAGGAAGGAAACAAGAGAGGAAAGGGGGAAACAGAAGGAGATCACGTTCAAAATCAAAGTCTAAAGGTTCATCGAACGCGAAATGTTATAACTTTAAGGAGAAGGGAAACTTTAAGCGAAATTGTCCACATATGAAGAATGAGAAATTCAAGAGTGAATCACGCAACAATAACACTACTGCTGTGGTTCATGAAAGTTATGATGAAGGGGACGATGGTGATGTACTGGCTGTTAGTATATCAAGTTCTGCTGATGCTTGGTTCTTGGATTCTGGAGCATCCTATCACATGGCGTATAATCGTGACTGGTTTGACTCCTTCAAAGAGTGGGATGACATAGTCAAGATGGTTGATGACTGGGTGAGCAGTATCAAAGGTAGTGGCACGGTGCAGATCAAGATGTACAATGGCATGGTCAGGAAGTTAGATTGCTGGTATGTTCTAGAACTTTGGAAGAATTTAATTTCTTTTGGCACATTGGATAAGAATGGGATGAGGTATGTTGGTGAAGGTGACTGGGTCAAAGTGACCAAAGGTTCTCTTGTTATAATGAAAGGGAAGATGAATTGTGGAGGGAT